AATCAAGTTGTAGAAACATCTCAAGGATGATCAGTGGAAACAGGATGCACTGGAGCTCAATTTTGAGTGTCATGGCAAAGGCTGTGAATACTTATGTACTTGTGATTTTTTTCATTTTAATAAATTTGCAGAGATTTCAAACAAACTTTTTTCACATTGTCATTATGGGGTATTGTTTGTAGAATTTTGAGAACAATAATGAATTTAATCCATTTTTGAATAAGACTAACATAAGAAAATGTGGAAAAAGTTAAGCGCTGTGAATACTTTCTGGATGCACTGTATGAGTAATGATGGTTAGGTGCAACCACTAGATGGTCAGAGGCAGGCCATAAATTTCTTAATTTGAAGGGGACGGCCATTTGGTCTTGGCATTGTGATTACAGAATGACCAGCTTCACTACTAGTACTTTTAAAACTAAAAATAAATGCATATTGTCTGCCTATTAAGGTTTTCATTTGGTTGTCAATATTGACAATATTAGTGCTTATTTAGCATATACAATATTTCAAATAGCAGAGAAAACAAGGTGCATTTCAACACTACATGCAACATTTTACAGCCTCTGAGTTTTTTTGCAGCTCATAGACAGAACCAAATATCATACCCTTCGATCTACTTATTGAGTCGTATTAATGGAAACTTTATTGTAGTACCGCTAGCTTGACTGTTGTGCACTTAGGTTGTCAGGATAGTTGAGTGCTACATTCAGGACATAGCTCAGGAGGTAGAGCAGTCATCTCCTAACTGGAAGGTCGGCAGTTCAATTCCTGCATGTCGAAGTGCCCTTGGTTAAGAAACTGAACCCCAAAGTGCCACCAATAGCTAAAGCAGTGCCTTGCAGGGCAGCGTTCGCCATCAGTTTACAGTGGGTACGGAAAGTATTCAGCCCCCCTTAAATTTTTCACTCTTTGTTATATTGCAGCCATATGCTAAAATCATTTAAGTTCATTTTTTTCCTCATTAATGTACACACAGCACCCCATATTGACAGAAAAACACAGAATTTTTGACATTTTTGCAGATTTATTAAAAAAGAAAAACTGAAATATCACATGGTCATAAGTATTCAGACCCTTTGCTGTGACACTCATATATTTAACTTAGGCTCTGTCCATTTCATCTGATCATCCCTGAGATGGTTCTACACCTTCATTTGAGTCCAACTGTGTTTGATTATACTGATTGGACGTGATTAGGAAAGCCACACACCTGTCTACATAAGACCCTACAGCTCACAGTGCATGTCAGAGCAAATGAGAATCATGAGGTCAAAGGAACTGCCTGAAGAGCTCAGAGACAGAATTGTGGCAAGGCACAGATCTGGCAAAGGTTACAAAAAAATTTCTGCTGCACTTAAGATTCCCCAAGAGCACAGTGGCCTCCATAATCCGTAAATGGAAGACGTTTG